GCGTTCCTCGCTGGGGCAAGCCGAGTTGCGATTCTCATGACCACAACGTTTCAGGGACAACGTTTCAGAGGCTTGAAACGTTGTACATGGTCATGAGAATCGCAACTCGGCTTGCCCCAGCGAGGAACGCAACAAAGAGCCTCGGGTTCCTTTCGTTGTACCCGACACTGCGTTTGGATCGATTTTGACCCCATGACCGAAGCCTGTCCGCGCTCCAACTTGGCAAATTTGGGTCCCTTTCTTTTTCCATGTCTGCGATCTCATCTCCCGATTTTCCCCCCGCAGGTTCGGGGGATGATGTACACTACCGCGATGGAGGAGTATCGAGAGCTACCGCCGGAGTAGCCTTCAACCCTACCCCTACGAGGGCGCGGTGAGTTTGAGATCCCGCTACAGCAACGGGCTGTCCTGCCTGTTTCTGATGTTGGCGGCGGGGTTTGGGGTGCCTTGAATACATCCGCTGCCCGTGGCCGCTCGTGTACCTCTCCCCAGCTACGATGAAAGGACGCTCGTGCCAAGTTCCGCCACCTTGGGTCGCACGCGTATACACACGCTCGTGTGATACAAGGCGGCGGAACTAGCCACGACCGGCATTCCACCGGAGTTGGGCAGAACTCCACGGACGACCGAGGGGGCAGCGGGCAGCCAAGGCAACCAAAAAGTCACGGCCAATCGGAACCAAGCACAGCAAGCTCATGAATCCGCGCCCTTGTGGCGGTAGTGCTGGCGGCTGCCCGGCGCGACCTCCGGCGGTAGCTTCGGACACTCCTCTATTGATTGTCCCAATCAGATCCACAACCGAAACCACCACCCACGGCACTGCCAGGTGTAAGCTTCAGAAAGCGAATGGATGCCCAAAAATGACTTCGTAAGCATAAGATAGATACACCGACGGGGCCCTTCACGGGGCCCCTCACCCGAATGAACTCGAAATGTGGATAGACAACGAACCACCCACAACATGCAAACGTTGCTGAGCGAACGCTGTGGTCAAGAGCGGCAAGTTGAGGGATGACACGCGTGTTTTTAATAAGCCATCCGATCTGTTTCTCGAGGCCGCCAATCCCATGACTCCGGTGGTGGGATGGGGGTGATCAGGACAAGTCACACTACATGCGGCGGCACCAATGGAGGAGTTAGTCTCCAGAGCTATCGCCCGAGGTCGCGCCGGAGGAGCCCGCCCCCAGCACTAGCGCCACCAGGGCGCGGAGTGGTAAGGTCCCGCTGCAGCAACGAGCTGTTCTGCTTGTTTCCGATGTTCGCGGCGGGGTTTGGGATGCCTTCGCTATCTGCTGCCCCTGGCCGCTCGCGAAACTCTCTCCCACTCCGACGGGAGGGCGCTCGTGGCTAGTTCCGCCGCCTTGAGTCGCACGGGTATACACACGCTCGTGCGATACAAGGCGGCGGACCTAGTCACGAGCGCCATCCCGTCGGAGCTTGGTAGAATTCCACGAGCGGCCACGGGGGCGGGAAGCGGGCAGCGAAGGCATCCCAAACCCCACCACCGACAGCGGAAACGAGCTGGGCAGAGCCCACTCCTATATCTGGACTTCAATAGGCTGCTCGTGGCCGGTCGTGAAATTCTGCCTAGCTCCGATGGAAGGGCGCTCGTGGCTAGTTCCGCTGCCTTGGGTCGCACGGGTATACACACGCTCGTGCGATACAAGGCGGCGGACCTAGTCACAATCGCCATCCCGTCGGAGCTTGGTAGAATTCCACGAGCGGCCACGGGGGCGGGAAGCGGGCAGCGAAGGCATCCCAAACCCCACCACCGACAGCGGAAACGAGCTGGGCAGAGCCCACTCCTATATCTGGACTTCAATAGCCTGCTCGTGGCCGGTCGTGAAATTCTGCCTAGCTCCGACGGAAGGGCGCTCGTGGCTAGTTCCGCCGCCTTGGGTCGCACGGGTATAAACAGCTCGTGTGATACAATGCGGCGGACCTAGTCACGAGCGCCATCCCGTCGGAGCTGGGTAGAATTCCACGAGCGGCCAGGGACAGCGGACAGCGGATAGCGGAGGAACCCTAACCACAAAGTATCCAGATCAACAGACGGAGTATCCACAGCCCGGAGTCATGAGCGGCATGGGCGGTATTTTTCCGTCCTGGGCGGTCGGGATCGGGTGCCTTTAGTAAGACATGCTTCCCGTGACCGCTCGTGGAATAACTCTGCCTTGCTCCGATGCAAAGGCGCTCGTGGCAAGTTCCGCCGCCTCGAGTCGCACGAGTACAGACACTCGTGCGACACAATGCGGCGGACCTAGTCACGAGCGCCATCCCGTCGGAGCTTGGGAGAACTCCACGAGCGGCCACGGGGGCGGGAAGCGGGCAGCGAAGGCATCCCAAACCCCACCACCGACAGCGGAAACGAGCTGGGCAGAGCCCACTCCTATATCTGGACTTCAATAGGCTGCTCGTGGCCGGTCGTGAAATCCTGCCTAGCTCCGACGGAAGGGCGCTCGTGGCTAGTTCCGCCGCCTCGAGTCGCACGGGTACAAACAGCTCGTGCGACACAATGCGGCGGACCCAGTCACGATTGCCACTCCGTCGGAGCTGGGTAGAATTCCACCAGAAGCCAGGCGCAGCGGATAGCCCAAGGAACCCCACCAATCCACCGACGTCGGCAACAAGCAGGGCAGAGCCCACTCCTACATCTGGAGTCCATTCCACTGCCCATGGCCGCTCGTGAACTTCTACCTAGCTCCGATGGAAGGGCGCTCGTGACTAGTTCCGCCGCCTTGGGTCGCACGGGTATACACACGCTCGTGTGATACAAGGCGGCCAAGCTAGCCACGACCGGCATTCCACCCGAGCTGGGTAGAACGCCACGAGCGGCCACGGGGGCGGGAAACAGGCAGCGAAGGCATTCCAAACCCCACCACCGACAGCGGAAACGAGCTGGGCAGAGCCCACTCCTATATCTGGACTTAAATAGCCTGCTCGTGGCCGGTCGTGAAATTCTGCCTAGCTCCGACGGAAGGGCGCTCGTGGCTAGTTCCGCCGCCTTGGGTCGCACGGGTAAAAACAGCTCGTGTGACACAATGCGGCGGACGTAAGCCACGAGCGCCATCCCGGCGGAGCTGGGAAGAACTTCACGAGCGGCCAGGGGCAGTGGACAGCGGAAAGCCGAGGAACCCAAACCCCACCGCGATGGTGATGGAGAGGTGTCCACAGCCCAGAGTCATGAGCGGGCTGGCCCACATGTTTCCGCCCATTGTGGCAGGGTTAGGGTGCCTGGACTACACCCGCTGACCGTGGCCGTTCGTGGAAACACTTTGCCCAGCTCCGATGGAAAGGCGCTCGTGACAAGTTCCGCCGCCTTGGGTTGCACGGGTATACACACGCTCGTGTGACACAATGCGGCGGACCTAGTCACGAGCGCCATCCTGTCGGAGCTGGGTAGAATTCCACCAGAAGCCAGGCCAAGAGGAAAGCCCAAGGGACCCAACCCAGGCACAGACATCGGCGACAAGCAGGGCGGAGCCCACTGTTACAGCTGGAGTCCATTCCACTGCCCATGGCCGCTCATGAAATTCTGCCTAGCTCCGATGGAAGGGCGCTCGTGGCTAGTTCCGCCGCCTTGGGTTGCACGGGTATACACACGCTCGTGTGACACAATGCGGCGGACCTAGTCACGAGCGCCATCCCGTCGGAGCTGGGAAGAACTCCACGAGCGGCCAGGGACAGCGGACAGCGGATAGCGGAGGAACCCTAACCACAAAGTATCCAGATCAACAGACGGAGTATCCACAGCCCGGAGTCATGAGCGGCATGGGCGGTATTTTTCCGTCCTGGGCGGTCGGGATCGGGTGCCTTTAGTAAGACATGCTTCCCGTGACCGCTCGTGGAATAACTCTGCCTTGCTCCGATGCAAAGGCGCTCGTGGCAAGTTCCGCCGCCTCGAGTCGCACGAGTACAGACACTCGTGCGACACAGTGCGGCGGACCTAGTCACGAGCGCCACTCCGTCGGAGCTGGGTAGAATTTCACCAGAAACCAGGCCCAGCGGATAGCCCAAGGCACCCCACCAATCCACCGACGTCGGCAACAAGCAGGGCAGAGCCCACTCCTACATCTGGAGTCCATTCCACT